TCTCTCACTTGACCTAAAGTTAATCACTTATGTGTCTGATCCCCATCAGACACCTGTGACGCTCAGAGACAATTTGAGACAACGACTTTGTCAGTGGATCTGCGATGTTATCTTCGGATGAAACTCTTTCCACTACTACATCTCGTTGGGCCACGATCTCTCTAATAAGCTGGAACCTCCTCATAATACTTCTGATGAGACCCGGGTTCTTTTATTTGAGTAATCACCCCGTAATTGTCGCATTACAAGGGAATCAACTCCTCGTTGCTTGGCATGACTCCCAAATCTGTGATGAACTTCTTAATCCAAACTCCCTCCTTTACTGCCTCTGTCGCAGTAATGTATTCTGCCTCTATGGTCGAGTCAGCAGTAGTATCTTGCTTAGAACTCTTCCAGCATACTGTTCCTCCATTCAGGGTGAACACATACCTTGAATTAGACTTGCTATCATCGACATCAGACTAGAAGCTCGAGTCTGTGTAGCCCTCAACCCCGAGGCTACTTCCTCCATATACCAGTAAAAGATCTTTAGTCCTTTTTAAGTACTTAAAGATACACTTTACTGTTTTTCAGTGCTCCAAGCTTAGATTCGCCTAATACCTGCTCATGACACTCAGAGCATGCGTTATATCAGGCCTGGTACATAGCATAACATACATGATAGACCCTATTGCCGAGGCATAGGGTATTCTATTTATGTCTACCCTTTCTTCAGGAGTTTCTGGAGACATACTCCTAGAAAGCGATATCCTCTGTCTCATCGGTATGAGACCTTTCTTTGAATTTTTTATGCCAAACCTTTTGACAATGGTGTTTATGTACCTGGATTGGGACAAGCCAAGCATCTTCTTGGATTTATTTCTATAGATCCGAATCCCCAATATGTATGATGCTTCTCCTAAGTCCTTCATAGAGAAGTGTCTAGATAGCCAAGCTTTTATCATGGAGAGCATTCCTATATCATTCCCAATTATTAGGATGTCATCCACATATAACACCAAGAAGGTGATAGCGCTCTCACTTAATTTCTTGTACACACAAGGCTCATCTTCGTTCTTAACGAAGTCATAAGATCTGGTCGTCTTATCAAATCTTATGTTCCAACATTGGGAAGTTTGCTTTAGTCCATAGATAGACCTAAGTAACCTTCACACCTTATCTGGACTTTCTTTGGACACGAATCCTTTAGGCTGTATCATATATACCTCCTCGAGGATGTCGTTGAGGAATGCGGTTTTCACATCCATCTATCAGATCTTATAATCATAGTGTGTTGCAA